AATAAGTTTTCTAGGTTAAGGGTGAGGGACCTCATTTACACACCGTTGGATAGCCCAAGTGATAAGCTTCAACTTGACGTTGAGACTTTTTCAAATTGTTTTTTCGTTGCCGCGAAAAACGCCTTTTCTCGGAACGGAAGGCAAAACGGCCAGGTCATTTTTAGCTAACTTATTCATTATCGATTCAAAAATTATAAAATTCAAGCAGAGAACAAGAAAAAGCTAATACTAAGTGATAGACTATAGATAGAGAAAGGAACAAGAAAGAACTATTAATAGTCTTATGTGAAGATATTTAATTTAAATTTTTCGTCATTTAGCGATTTTCCTTGCATCTGATGTTTATATAGGCTTTCTTTAATAATTCTTCTTCGCCAGTTTGTCTCGAGAGCTAAAGTTTCACATCGCATAAAATCAAATGAATCATTTTCTTTATTAGCGTGTTTAGCCACATTCGAGGATTCGGTTTGTTATAATTTAGAATTTAAAAATATTTAAATTTCAGCTTTTTCAAAATTTTTCCATTAACTCCGAAAAACAGGCAACGTTACCCCCCGTGGTCGCCATTGCGCACAATTTTTATAGCAGGACTTTTACTCCATCATGCTTCGTTATTGCAGGATTTTTGGCAAGAGTTTCACACTGCAGTTAAAAACCCTTTCTAAAAACCGATTTTTAGCTAAATCCATCCACTGCTTCATGTTCGAACAAATCTTTCGCTACAAAAATTTATCTACATGAGAACCTGTGTCAAATTTTAAGTTCGTTTGCAAAAATTTCAACGGTTTTTAAATTTAAAAGTTTTTAAAATTTAAAAGTCGTTAAAATACGTGGATTTTGATTTAAAGTTTTTCGTCTTGAGGTTCAGTGCAAAAAGCGTATACTGAACGATAATAGGCCATGGCAAATCTAACCGAAATATGTTGGACATCTGTACGAGATCTTCAGGATGCCTCTGAAAAACCGTTTTTAACAAAGTAAAAGTTGAAGCTACGACACAGGATAATTATAGGGTAATCGATTATGTTGTATCGTAATAAATCATTACTAGAGTTTATAAAACTAGGTAAAGAGGATATACCAACTGATTTAGCAGATGTATTATTTAACAAATGTACAAAAACTCATTATGTTTGTTATAATGAAATACTTATTGGAGCTGTCATATTGTTACTTTTTCACATATCATATCTTTTTTTGAAAAACTACATTCTGTCGTTGTATAAAATAAAAAATTTGATTCAATTCGCGTTTTGATTTAGATGTAAAATATAAATGGACAAGAGAACTATTGTTAAGTATTTTAATAACAGTGCAAATGAATACGTTGCAAAGAAAATGTTCGTAGTATAAGTACTTAGTGTAAACCAGGATAATATTCTTGTGTAGCTATTTCCGCAGCAATTGATTGTTGACGTTGTTTTTCTTTTTGTTGCTTTATTTTTTGTTGTTGCATTATAGCAGCATCAGCTTTTTCAATTCTTTTATCATCTTTTCCTAATGTACCGTATAACAAAGATGGGTTAATTTTTATGCCAGTTGTTTCTAAAAATTCTAGTAATCCACATTGACCACTGTTAAAAATAATAACAGCAGTAGCAGCAGCACCACGTATAGAAGTATAATTATGATATTTATTTTTAGCAATAATCGACCAGACCTAGAAAGAATAGAATTTCAGCGTACACATATCATCCAATTTCGAAACCGAAACGAAACCTTGAAGAAGAATTAACAATAACACTTACAATAAAGTTTATTGATTCGTTACTATTTTGAGTCAATCCTTTGACACAGCGACGCAATAATTCTGAATTTGTAAGATCATTTATCATTTTATCTAAAATTTGACTAAATATGGGATCAAGACATAATTCTTGTTTTTTTTCATCAATTGATTTGTATTCTGGATCAAGTAAACTACGTTTATATGCACACCAACTATTGAGTCCATCAGGACAATGTTCATGCTGTTTATTTCGATCTGGTGATTTTATATGATGAAAAAATGATGCCAAACATTTTTTTCTCATATGTTCCATTATTTCATCTTCACTTTTATCTGTTAGAAAAGAAAAATTATAGAAATGTTTCAAAGAAACTCTGTATGAGCATTCACCCATTGTTTCTGCTATGGCTTGTTGTATAGCAAGACCATATGAATACGATATATAATCTATTATTTTTTCGGGCAATAATTCTTTTTGCCCCTTCCCCTTCCATACCCTTTGATGTACCAATATAATTTTTTAAACAATTATTTTTATGTTCTTCATATCATTCTCTATATTGTTCTTTATTTAATCGTTTACTATTCACTTCACATAATTCACATCTAAGACTTAGAACCTCATAATCAATACATTTCCCACTTTCTACTTCAATAATAAAAACAATACCATATGATGAAATATGCCCCCGTTTTTTCCACATGCCATCCAATGAAACCGTAATATTCACAATAGAATCTTCATCATCAATATTTTGTTGACTTTTTATATCATTTATTACACTTTTCAAATAATTTTGTGTGTAATTATGTAAGGAATTACGTACATTATGCACTTGTTGTATAAAACGAGAACGATGTGTAACAGGTAAACATAACAGAGCTGGGCAAGTACGGGATTTCTCAAGTACGAGTCGAGTATGAGTACCAATGCTTCGAATACGAGTCGAGTACAAGTACCGAGCCTTCGAGTATGAGACGAGTACAAGTACAAGCACCAATTTTTTAAATACAGATACCATTGAACCAGGTATGACTATGAATTTCTAAAATAATTTGTGGGAAAAGAAGTCCTATAACTCTTTAGTTATTCTCTTAATTAGTCTCTTATTATTTGATATATATCAGAAACAAAATATTGATAAAGCGAAATGTTAAAACATTTTTTTAATTTATTGTATTATCAACCTTCAAGTAAATGGAATCAAAGTAAAACTTTGTTACATTTTAGAAAGTTCGTAGACACACATTCTTTGCCGTTAATAATGCTGGATGTGGTCTCATCAGAAAACCACTTTGCGAGAAAACACGTTCGATAGAAGACGATGTCGCAGGCACTGTTAGATATTTTAGAGGAAGTTGATATAATCCTGGATAGATGTGCTTTTTAGAAAAAAGTAAATCTTCTTCACGACTTTCTTCGCATAAATAACAGACACTTCATCTGGAATTTCAAATATTAGATTATCGAGTACTGACCACCTCGAGTACAAGTATCAGTCCCTCGAGTACGAGTACGAGTACGACCAAAATCGTACTCAAGTACGAGTACTTCGAGCATTTTGCCCAGGTCTGAAACATAACATGGACATTAGATAATCGATTGAATTATAACCAACACCAGATATAGTAGAAGCTGTGTATATTCGTATTTCAATATCACGTACAAATTTCAATCTTCCTCCATCACAAATATGAGCATTATTTAATATTTCTTCTAAGTGATTTATTTCAAATATTTGGGCTGTTTCACCACTAACTGGTGTCGAAATAGCTCTAATGAAAGTTAAAACTTCGAATTACTGGCGCCTTATATAAAAATACAGGGGTGGGCAAAATTATAGGCCGCCATTTGTTTCTGATTTTTCTCTTTCCAAATGATAGTTGGAACAACTCTAAATACTGATTTAAATAGCTCGAAGATTTTTCAATCGGATAAGGTGCATATTGAAAACTCACAAAAAATTTGATAGTAGGGTTTCTAGAAAACCTGAAGCCTAGAAAACTAAGTCTTTGGTTTTTAGATAAAAGATTTTTGTAAACCATACAGTCGTATAGAGCAAAGAATTTTGAGCAAAATAAGATGTCTCCGAGCTGTCCACGACGTTTTTCAATCGAACTGTAATCGATTTATGAAAGGCCACAAAGGAATATTTTCGCTGTTTGCCTGTAGAATTTCGTGATTTTGACTCTTTGTGGCCTTTCAGAATTCTTTGCTCTATACGACTGTACGGTTTACAAAAATCTTTTATCAAAAACCAAAGACTTAGTTTTCTAGGCTTCAGGTTTTCTAGAAACCCTACTATCAAATTTTTTTGTAAGTTTTCAATATGCACCTTATCTGATTGAAAACTCTTCGGGCTATTTAAATCAGTATTTAGATTTGTTCCAACTATCATTTGGAAAGAGAAAAATCAAAACAAAGGGGGCACTATAATTTTTGTCCACCCCTGTATAAGAAAACCTATAGTATTTGTGTCTATAGAAAAGCATCTTTGCAAAAAGTTTTTACTACAAATCTACCTATTTATTGAACTTGATAGTTTTTGCGATGATGAACGTAAAAGCTTTTTTACTTTTAACACTGAAGATGTGTCAGTATCGGAAAGGCTAGAATCATCATTCATCTACAACAAAATGTACATATTGACCTTCATTTTATCTTGTTTATCCAGCATGTAACAATTATGCTTCAAAAAACGTTTTCTCGTGATGTCCAAAATGCTCCTATCGATGCCCAAAAAAATCAACATACGTACACATTAGTGACTTGAAATTAGATATTTTGAATCGCTTAGGTTTCTCTACTCTATGTGAAAACAAAATTCAACAGAAAAAGCAAAACACGTTATTTCTTCCTTCTAAGCCAGCTGATTTATTCTGTTCTGTTCCGTTCTCTTATTAGAGTAGATTGAAATAGTGTTTTCATTTCTTAAGAAATGGAAACACTATTGAGTGAGTGCTGAACGTTTCGATAGTAAGGCCCACAATTTAAACTTTAAGTAAATGACATTTTAAGCTGCAACACCAAACGGCTGATACCACAAGCTTTGCGATGTTCAAACCGCAATAAACGCAATAGGGTTTTCTGGAGACCCATTAAGAGCCTTCCGGAAATCTCTAGCATGTGTCTATAAAATGCTCCAAACTTAATTATCTATGCAAACCTTTCTTTTATCTGCATACCTCCGTTTATCAAAAAAGGTTTCCTAGAGATCCTCTGGAAATCCTCTAAGCGGTTCAAATGTATGTCAGATGTCCTATAAACAGGATATAGAATAGCTTAAATACTCTACATTGTGAAGTTTTGAACTCGTTCTGATGTTTTTTGAGTGAAAAGTGAATTTTTTAATATTAGGTGAAAACGGCCCGAAAACCCTAATTTTCATAAAACTGACTTTTCGCTAGATTTTTAAATTTTTTTCTAAAAATAAATATTGTCACGAAACTCAGCATGGTCGATTACCCATAGTGCATCCGTCTTTAAGGCTACCAATAATCACCGGGTGCCAGCCCTGGGACTCGTAGAAAATCCGATAGAACGCCCGAACTGCGGAAAATCAAGGTCTGTCTTTACTCCTACTTTGAAGAGGACACCTCGAGCTATCATTCCATGAGAAAAAAGCAATGCAATCCTATTGGAAAAGTTTTACAGACGGCCTAGTTTTCCAAAGATTTCCTAGAAAGCCAGTTTCAGAAAACTCTTCTGAAAACAATGCTGGTTATGGAAACATGTCTTCAAGTCTCCTCTTTTGAATGACGAAAACCGGAGCTCTCTAACTCTTTTCTATGAAAAGTTATTCAAAATCTAGCCCGGGAAGCTGTTTTTGGCGTCGATAATAATTAACAGTAATTCCCATAAGCACTTGACAAACCCGCTACTCTTAAAAAAGGATTCCAAAGGCCTGTTATGAAGAACTTTTTGCAAAAACAAATATAGGGTTTTGTAGAGCTTGGAAAGAGCTTTCGAATCATGTACTACTTAATGACTTACAATAAACTGTTAGTTTGCAAATAAAGATGCAATGCATGTTCAAGAATTTCACTATCATATAAAGGTATAATTTATATTTCATACATTCAACATGATATATGCTCAAGTGATTTTATTACTAACAACTGGATCAGCTATTTAACCAAAGGTGGCATAATCAACTTTTATTTCGAAGACGTTTATCGCAAAGACTTTCTATTTACATCACCGTACCAGTTTTACACATTAAAAACATTTTGTCAATTAACAAATGAAACAGTATCAAATAGTTTAAATGTATTTAATTCAACAAAATATATAACTGCTATAGTTGTTACTGATGATCTATTCCAATTACAAACTCAATCATTAGGTGATTTATTTAATTCAACAACAAAAAATACATTTTTAACAAATTTAGAGATAATTCGTGATACAACACATGTAAACGGACTTGCAACAGCTTTATCTTTCAGCGGCGCATTCCATATTTACAATAGTGATACATATGCAATTTTATTTAGATATTATTTCTACGACAACTGTTCCTGTCAATACGACCCAGCATGTACTTCATTGTCATATATAAGTTATTCAAATAATAACGATAATGTCGAAATTCTTATACCTGGTATGAAAATCGGCTGTTATGTGATTGAAGCAATACTTTAATCAGATATGAGATGTTTGTATAACCAAACATGTGTTTCTGAAATACAGTTCTATGCAGATTTAGGTCAAGAAGTTACAAAAAATTTTACTGCTGTGAATATGACTAATCGTGCAGCAGACACAACAGTAACAATTGGAGAATTAATGAAAAATTTAATGGTAACACAGTGGATCATAAACAAATCGTATTCCGATTAATATAATCAATGCCATCCATTATCTTGTGTCTATACACTTGACGAAAAATTTCAAAAATATTAACATTATCATAATGCCTTTTGTAGCCAGTCATAAACTACAAGTCTGTCTAATGCTGACTTTGCTGGTAAGAACTAAAGAATTCAATTTTGTGTCGTTTGACTGCTAGAATGTTCTCGAGTGTCTCACTCTCACCACTCGCCACCACCTCTGTTGTTCAGGTTTTTGCACTCTTCTAGGGAGATTTGGGTGGGAGAACATCGATCGACTAAAAAACCGGACGAGTGTGGCACCAGTTCGATTCGAAAAACAAGATTTCGACTGGAACCCCCGCCTTACGGCGCCGGGAATACGCAGAAGTGTTCTTTCTCCTTTTTGTCTTGTCGGCTGAGTGCAAGATTCTTGTTCACGCAGAATGTGCGTTTTTTCCGAGAGAAACAGGCTAACAAGCCCTTTATTTTCTCCGTTTTCGATAGAAGGAATAATAAGTTCCTTCTTCTTTAAAAAGCGATATACACACAGACATGTGCTATATTTTCGCCTTGTTCGGACAGAAGAACACAAGTTCTTTTTATCCATAGAGAAATGTGCTTTATTTTTCTTCTTCAATAAGAAGAGCATAACTTCTTATTTAAACAAGATAAGTTGTTACTATTCGACTAACAAGACACGTAAGTACGTGCATTCATTTTCTCCACGATGTTTCACACCATNAACCCAGCTGAAGAGACCCTTGAGCAAGGTCGAAACCGGTCCTGGGTTGCTCCGTTCGTTTTTAAAAAAGTTTTCGAAAAATTCGAACTCTTTTACTCTTTCTGTACGAAAGTAAACTTTATTCGAAATCTATCGTTCGTCATGCTTAACGGCAAGATTGTCGTTTTTAGTTCAAAAATATCAACATTATCAAAAAGCCAGAACGCTCAGAGAAAATCTCTTTGCTATAAAAGATGTTATCGGCCGCTTCATCGGCAAATGATTCGAAAGATACTGTATACCCCACGTTTCAACGCCATTTCATGCGTTCAGAAAGAACCGGTTGGGCTGTGAATTGTATATTTATCATACCTTCAGGTTTTATTTCATAAGGCATCTTTTTCCCATGGTAGAACTGGCCATTTTCCAACTTTTCATCATAGACTTGATGTAAAATTGAATCAGCACCCGATTGTGGATCTCTGGCATCGTCAGCCCCCTGAGTCATCTCAGTTTTACAGTAGCCGGGACAAATAGCAGTGATAATGGCATTCTTTCCAGGATAATTTCAATCACGTGCTTCAATTCGTGTCAGCATATTGATTGCCGCTTTTGATACACTGTAGAAGATCATCAGTGGATGAAATGGAGGAGTAAAACCGACTGTCTTTGGATCTTGACCCTGTTCGACGGCTTCGAATAACCTGTGTGAGAACGAAGGAAATGAGAAGGGCATCTACTTAGAGAAATTGGTCAACTGGAAGGTTGAAGCTGAAAGCTTGACGGGGCTCCAGGATCCCGCTCCCGGCCCGGAAGCCAGGTTCGGGATCCCAGAGGAGAGACAGAAAAAGAAAACCTTTTTACTAATCTTTACACTCTAAATAACCTATACTCCACCCAATATGGTTGATTAGGTATAGGACGGTAAAGTCGCGTTTCGTCAATTCAACTTTCGCCAATAGACATTCGCCATATTGGCGACTGGCGAATGTCTCGGCGACAGTCGCCAGTACATGTCCTCAGTATGATGATAAGAAAAAATTCGGTGAATCTCGTGGTGGACGTGGTTCGAGACGAAGAGGTCGAGGACGTGGTTTTTTGTTGCCTTGAAAAAGAACTATGTTTTGAACGTTAATATCGTTTGTATTTATTCTTTTCTTAGACTCTTTGTTGTTGTGTTGTGTCTCTGTCTTTTTTGTTCTTTTTCTCAAAATAAGATCAAAATCTTTGCATAATAATATCAAAAAACGATTTGCTCATCCTGTAACTACAAAAAAATACCACAGAAAATACGATACGGATCAAAACATAACAGCGAAAAGAAATGCATCATTTTTTGCGCCTTTCGTTCTACTACATAAATCACACTACGTGACATTTAAACATTTGGGAGTGGTAAAGTCGCGTTTCGCCAATTCAACTTTCGCCAACAGACATTCGCCAATTTTTTTTGGACATTCGCCGTCTCCGAATGTCTACTGGCGAACGTTGGCGAAAATTGAATTGGCGAACTGCGACAAATCCGTATTATTCCATTGTTTCTTTTTGTGTCAAAAAAAGAATGAATAACTAGAACCACGGACAACACAGAACCTGGAAAAGAAGAATTCTCCAAGTGGACGTATATAGCAGAAAGCCATCTGGGATGATACCGGAGTGATTTAGAAGTTTGATTTATTTGAATGAAGACGGATTTGAATGAACCGACGAAGTTCTGACTGATCCATCGGTGACGAATCAGTCAGAACTCCAGTGATCACAAAATCGCTTTCACTTGTATCATTATTATCATGCACATTCGTTACATCATTTGTCATCACCATCATCAAACAAATATTTTAATTTCTTAGCACACCTCAACCATGTACAGTGCGTCTAGGTTATACATCGGACAGCGATGACGTTTTAACGTTAAGTTGTGTTCCTGGGTACAGTTTTGATCCAAAATTAATTAATTTTGGAGACGATAACGGTGATAAAAAGCGCGAAAGTAATGAAGGGACGTTGAAAACTCCAGAAAAAAACGATAATACTGCTATCGTTAAAAAGAAACCGATACAAATGAAACAAAACACACTGCTTTCATTCTGAAATAAACAGTAAAAGCTGGAGTGAGAATGTTTTTATTTTGGTAGAAAAAGGTAGTTGTTAATTAAGAAATCATTACAATTTTTTATGATAATATTTTCTTGTAACTACACCTATTTTTCTTCAAAAGAGGTAACGAAAAAACGAAAATATTAATAAAATCATAATATAATACTTATTTTGATATAAAAAACACTCTCTGGCTTTACTAGCAAGCGAAAAAATTTGACCGTAATAGAAGACCACCCTTTAGAACTCGACTTGCCGGACAAAATAGAAGACCAGGTGGTCTTCTATTATGGGAAGGGGAGGGGGGGGTGATGTTCAACGAGCGTGTGGATGCAAGAAGTCATCTTATGTTACCCCACTCGCATACACTTATCTACACAACATTCATACCCACACCCTAGCCTTCATTTTTTCTGTTCTTACCAGAAAGAAAAATATGTTGTTCTGAAAGAGTTGAAGAACACCAAGTAATGTATGAGATAAGATGTGTGACGCGATAACACTCAAATCAATATACTCAAGCAGAACAAAGTTTGTCGACGAGTATAGAAAAACCAAATTAGACCCTGTAGAACACTCGAGAACAAAGACAGAATCAATCGTCCACATAAATAAAAATAATCCTTTTTGCCAAAACAGCCTATCGTGTTCGTGATTATTAAGCAAGCGACGTCTGTATTTAATACTAACGACCGAAAAAGCAAACCGAAAGCCTACATGTCAGTAATGACTGAGTCCTCACGCATAGCATTATCACCACAAACTCGTCAATCAAGACAACTTATGACTCCGAACTATTCACTTATCTGGGTTCAAAATGGCTAGGATGAAACAGCGACGATTTGTCAAAATATACTCACGCAATTGCGCATTTTTGCCAATGAGATTACAATCTGTAAGGATCCAGCATATTGTATTCAGTGCCTGAATGATATGAATGACGAAAAAGCCTTTGTCATCTCCTCTGGAGATTTGGGCCAACACCTCGTGCCACAGATACATGACATGCAACAAGTCTATACCATTTACATTTTTTGTGGCAATAAAACAAAGCATAAACAATGGGCAAACGAGTGTACACTACATAAGGGAATGATGAAAGGGAAGCAATTTTACAGTAGACAGTTTATGCTTTTTGGCCTATTCGATATTAATAAACTGAACAAGGCTATGGAATTCTAAGAGGGGCAGCACTTCTAGAAGTATTTTCATGCGAGATTTATGAAATTGTAGAGCGTTAGGTTTAAGTTTCGCTCTTTCATTTAAACTACAACTGATTGTAGAGCGGATCTATGTGCGTCTGTAGATCCGTGTTATTTTTCAAAATCTTTCTCAAAACTGTGTTGACTACTATCGTCGCTAAAATACCGGATCCTGACTAGAATTTGAATAACTTTTCACCTGAAGTGAAATAGACACCGGCGGTTTTTACCGTTGTGTAGTCAGGATCCGACCCTGTATATTATGCAAGAGTTTCTCTCCGAATACCGCCTGCAGGTGGTACACCATTAATTTAGTAACTGAAGAAAATGATAGCACAGTGTTAATTTAGTAGTTTTTCCAAACTAATGGCTGATCTCTATGCGAATTTAACTGTCAAATAAAACTAGTTTTTTTCTTGTTTCTACTTTCGCCTTTACATTCGAAGATAAAAACACAATTGTTTGAGCAAGAAGCATATGTCACCTCATTTGTAGGCAAAACAAGTCTGATTGTCCTGCATTTTGAATAAAGTCTGCTTATTCTATCCTAGAAATTTATTTCTAAATTTTTTATACGTCATCACTGCAAAACCTCCTTTCTTCTCTTCTTTCTCACTATTCACCTCTCTACCGACTAACACGCTATGTATAAAATCAACAAACAGTTTTACTTGACATTCAAATATATTTGAAAATACAATAATATTAATTTGTTCTTTAACTAAACGTTTGAATCCAGATTCAAATCCGTAGATTTCACCACTATGTTCAATTACATTACCATATTCATTAACGATCAAACCATAGCCATATCCATACCATCCGTGTTCGTTGTTCTTCTTTGACACGGGTGATGGTGTAATCATTTGTTTAAAGAGATATGGTTCGATGAATTTTGTTGGTGTGGTTAAAGGATTGAATACGGCTTCCAGCCATCGATAAAAATCTTCAACATTTGTACAAATACCACCGGCTTCGCGTGCCGTAGTCATATTCCAAAATTTACAATGAACGAAGTTCGTAGTATTACTGGAAGTTTTGTTATGGTCACAAATTAGAACAGTTTCATGGCCTAGAATATACGGAAATAGAAAGAAAGAAAGGAAATTAAGTTTATGTAAACGAGTAGGCTGAGAGACGTTCTTCTTATAGAAAATGTCGTTAAACTTTTTCACAATCGATTCAATATGTAACAGATGACGCATAATAAATGGATCAAAATATTTTCTTACTTTTGAGTCACTTCCCTTTAATTCGGAGACTTGACTATAGGCTCATTCGCCAGAAAACTGAAAACTCTATAAAACTGTCGATTTCATTGCTCAAGTAAATATTGTTGTTCAACACAATATTAAAGAGATTAACTGTCTTCGAACTGTGACACACGAAAATCGATAAAATGACAGTCAACTTTATAGAAACAGTTTGGTTGAAATTTCAAGCGTACCACTAGATTCTCCTCAAAATTCTTTGAATTAAAAAATGTGAAAATATAGAAAAAGTTACTCTTTTAGAGAACCTTTTGCACTCATATCTTGGAGCTTAGGAAAAACTTAGTTTGCACTATTCAGACTATTTTATTACATTCAAGCCTGCGTTTAACTATGCGAAAAATAAACTTTTTACACATAAATCTGGATTTTAGAAAATCCGATTTTATCGAAGGCGTCACTAAAATGCCACTATCACTCGGTTCCAAGACTATTTCTCCTGGACGATAAAAGTAGAAATTTTAAGAAAGTGTAAAAAAGTAGATGATCAAATTTTCTATCGACCTATGTAAAGTACTTCACTTTTACTAACAAACTTGCTGAGAAAAAAAGGTGTACAACTTGATCGCTTTGCCGACAAAACATTCAATCACAATTTGAAGACTGTATGTATGTTAATGTTTTGACTTTTGTGATGAGAAAAAGAAATATATTTCAAAACACAATCGGCAGTTTTGTAGGGTTTTGTATTCTTTATCGAATGATTCAAAAATTGAGTCGCTGTTCGAATGGAAAGTGCCTCAAAAATAGGAAAACATTTTGACCCGTTTATTATCCGTCATCCGTTATGCTAAACCACAACTAAAAACGAATATTTTTCTATCGATATGATTGACGTTCAACTATAGAACAAGTCTATTAGAAAAAACAGCTTTGAAACTGTCCAACTTAATTTTACTGTAAGATCTGTTAAAAGAAGTTAAAAGGTGTTGTCGTTGCTATACCTATTTCTTCCTGCGAAATGTTAAACTTCTGCACTGAGAATATAGGTAAATGAGCAGCTGACTCAAAACGGAATAGCACACTGAATGCAGTGTGTCAAAAAACTGCAAAAATGTAGACAAAACAAATAAAATAAAAAGGATAACTGTCACAACATGCAAGTATCTATGAAACAGGGAAAAATATCAGAGCGCAAACAGAGTGTCTCAGATTTTTCTCAAGGAATATTGGATTCAGATGAACGAAATGAGAATTTTAAGCTGTTACGGTTTTTTTTGTGTGATTCGCTTTTCGCTTAAAAAAATTCCCAAAATGAAACTTTCACTTAGATAGACTGAATTCATCATTTTTGCGAATTATTCGACTTTCTCAGCTTTCCATGCGCGCACATGCTATATATTTCGTTGATCATATCTCGCAATAGTTTGATCCGTCGTATCTGTGTAGGATTTTTCAACAAAAGCTTTTCTAAATGAGCTTAACTCCAGACAATAATAAATCGTTCCAAAAACCATCGTTTAGGCTCATTGTAATTTAAAGCATTTGTTCATGCTTCGAAAAAGAAAGTGATCTACCTTTGGCAATTTGATGTGTATTATTAGACACCACACATTCTCTGTCATCATTACACTCATAAATTGTATTATTCATATTCAACGGTTTCAATATGTATTCATTTAACAATTCTTCAAATGTTTTTGATGGTGATATGGAATGTATGATTGCACCTAACAAGATATAATTTGAATTTGAATAATGAAATTTTGTACCCGGTTCAAAATCCAATGGACAATGACTAAACAATCTGATTAATTCATCTAATTTATATGTCTTGCTTACACATTCACTTTCAAATTGTGGTAATTCGGTATAATCTGTAATACCTGACGTATGATTTAACAACATTTTCAGACGAATTTTATTTGAATGGGGATACTCCGGAAGGTAAGCAGAGAGAAAGTCTTTATCAATATTTAATAGATGTTGTTCATGTAATTTTAAGATGATAAATGATGTGAATTGTTTTGATAGGGAACCGATACGATACATTGTTTTTGATGTGTTCTTTGTTTGTTGAGTATAATCGGAGGAACCGTAGCCTTTTGATAGAAGGATATGTCCACATTTTGATATTAGAAGGGAACCACTAAATTCATTTGATTGCGTTAATTCGGTAAAATAGTGATCGATTTTCGTAAGACGTTGTTCAAATTCAGATCTTAGAAGACGAAATTGATGATCGGAATTAGTAGATGAGAGAGTTTCGACTACAATAGATGTCATCTACAGTTAAACATAAACAGAAGACAAAGTCATGGCCTTTCTGGGCAGTGTGTCTGATGATACGTAGACGCTTGCACGCTAAATTTTAGAAATATCCATGTACTAAAAATCGGCCATTAATCGTGAAAAATCATACAATTAATCGCGATTAATTGTCGATTTTTTTCTAGATACTAGGTTCGAATCCACCTTAGGAAATACATATTTTTTTCTGTTTTTTCATTGTTTATTATGTATAATAACATGTACGTCATCCAGCAACGGTCTTGCCACCAGCTGAAGTCGGAAGCCTTTCCAACGAGTCGACTTTAGACATTGGCCAAATACTAGCTGTTCACTGGGCTTCTCGGCTTAAAACTCGAAGGGACCATATAGAAGACTCTTAACAACTCCGTTTTACTGTAAAATAAAAAGATGATCTAAATAGAAGTGTATTTCTCGTTGAAATGGTGTTTCTTATATACATATTTTACTGCAAAATAAAACGATGAAATAACAATAACCATTTAATCGCTTAAAATCAACAATGAATCGCAAGTGATGGCGATTTTTAAGACAAAGAAAAGTCATCGGAATAGCATATGCGGCTCCAACTGCCGGTAAGAAAAAACGCTAAACCTGATTTGTTATCTCGTTTACAGATAGAGAAATTCCTGGCTTTACATCCCGCAGCAGACCGTTATCCACAACCGATACCGATGCTAGATCGAATTGTGTACCCTTATCAGAGATTATAACAGTCAGGCACCTAGTACACTTGCCTCGCGAAACGGACAGTTGCTCATGAACATATACATATTTTACTGCAAAATAAAACGATGAAATAACAATAACCATTTAATTGCTTAAAATCAACAATGAATCGCAAGTAATGGCGATTTTTAAGACAAAGAAAAATCATCGGGATCCCCAATTAATTCGCGATTTTTCAAGAATCGCGATTAATTGTTAAAAATGCCATGATTTCGTCGACATGGGTACACTTTAATTTGCACTTTGCTTTTAGAAGTTTTTGTTGGAATACGCTCTACAAACAAAGCTTTTATACCTTTGCAGTACACTTTGGATAAAAAAGTAGAAAGTACACCAGTGCACTTTGCTTCAAATTCCTATTATAACCATATCAAATATATATCTACTTCTTTTTCCCATCTCGCATATACTGCGCATGTCTTTATCGTTTCTGTTGACGAGAAAAAAAAGAAAGAACAATGTAAACATAAAAGCACTTCGGATTAATCCGACGGGGAAAAAGCAGCTCCCGGTACCACCAGGAACCCGGCGGAACCCAGTAGAACCTTGTTGTCACCAAAAAAAATTTGTATCATGCACTCTTTGTAGCGAAAATGAGATGATTACACGTACATATGAATTAAATTTGGTTACGAAATATCCAAAAGGAAATTGTGTAGGATAGAAAAACATATACAGACAAGTTAGAGGATATAGGTCTAGTGCTTTTATTTGCCTTTTGTTTATATGCCTTAACTTGCTTTTACTTGCTGTTAGATTTAGTTTGCTTTTCTTTTCGATCATCAAAAACACGCAAGAGCATGAAAAATCTTTCGTTCTGTTTTTATCGTCAAAACAGAAAGGAGGGAAATGCGTAACATATGCGAGATAGAAAAAGAATAAGATATCTCATATTTGATACAGCTTTATTAGAAACACTGCTTCTGAGCTATGTTTCCTTTAAATTTCTAAGCCCACACCGATTCCAATTTTTGAGTGATTCTTTCACATAGAATCGTCGGTTTTTATCGATTAGAAGTATTAATCAAACATAAATTAACACTGTTTTTGGGACAAAGATCCGATCAGAATCAATATAGAACCAATACATGACTAGTTACTTTAATACTAGAATCCAATTTAAAGATATTATTTTCATTCTACAAATATTTTAATCAATATTGTACAATAATATTTTCAATTTTAAATAGTCAATTATTTTTCTAGTCATTTATTGTCTTATGGATAGTAAAATGTAATTTAGTTTGTCGTCTTATTTTTGAATAATATTAACTGAGAGGTTTTGTTATCAGATATTTTTGATATATTGGAAATTTTCAATTTTTCTTTTCTTGAATAAAATGAACAATAATACAAATGGCAATATTTCTATAGATTCTAAAAGTTTTATCTGAATACCTATTATCGCTTTGTAGAAGAATGAATTGTCAGTATTAGAATGTCTCGCAACATAGAAAGGTCAATATATTTCTACGAAAAATTGACAGATTAATCCACGACTTATCCCGACGATAGAAAAAACTTTTGACTCACTTTCATTGCAGTGTGAAGTCGAAAATACTTCTGACTGTCTATATGAATAACAAGAAGCTAATTGAGCTTTACTCGATATTAGTACAGAAAGATTGTTTATTCAGAAACAGAAATAAAATCAGTTAAAAGATCATCTGACACAAGAAAAACGAAAAACATTGACTTTAGCACAACATACATATACAAAAAATATAAATTTATTCTGACAAAAAATAAATATTGTGCAGTTTACGATAGACATGAGCAAGAAACAAAAAGATATCCGTCTGTTACAACGGACAAGATAAGAACAACAAAATTATTCGTCGTCAACTAATGTAAAAATGATCGTTCACCTTTTGATAATATTTATTAACCAAAACGTTCTTATTAATTTGGAAAGCTAGCGGTAGAGATCATTGCAATTTTGAAGAAAACTAAACTTAGAAAACTTTCCAGAATGAAAATACTTTGTCTAATCCGTAAAACTGTCCACAAATATTCCTCTTATGTACAAAAATGTTATTGAAAAAGAATTATCGTAATCCATTTCCTTTGTTTGAAAATCGTCAATAGTTTGATACTATCACAATCAGTTTATTTTATTTGTTTGTTTACTCAAGCACTCTTTACTTAAACTGAAAAGGAAAAAAACATCTTAGATAACTCATCTAAAACAAGATGTAACTAAAACAATAGCTGAAAGGTGAACACTTCTGAAGAAAAGAAACGCTGCAAAACTTTTATACGTTTAGATAGAAGTCACACATTCTTTTTGACTAATATCTTGTTGATGTCAATCTTCAGACACTAGCCATGTCATATTATGATGAAAATTAAGCAATTAAACAGAAATTCTACTGGTTCTCTCGCTCACAAGTGTTCAACAAACAGAGATCGATGGGTTAATTTTGTAAGGCAAAAAATGAAAAAAAGATAAAGTAGAAATTTTCAAAAGCAAAGTGGGATATACTTTTCTCCGTGTGGAAAACAGAATGGAAATTCATTATTCAAGGTAGAAACCCATTTTACTCTCCCTTGTCCCACTAATCATTAAAAACACTGTAGGTGCGAACGCCTACCGAAGGGAGGCGTGAGCATTCACTTCAGTTCAGAAGTACTTTTAGACCGCTGCGAATCTTTGTAGGATAGTGAACACCGACCGAAGGGAAGTGTGAGCGTTATCTTGGATTCAAAGCCATGAAAGGTCGTTCGCAGATATACAAAGTCAAGGGACCGAGCGAATGCAGACGAGCGTTACCTTGTTTTATTTGTTTTGTTTACTCATCATCAAGCACTCTTGACTTAGATAAGAAAGGAAAAAATTGATTGGTTAAAAATGTCAACCAGTCAGTTCATGTTTGACAACGGCGACAGTTACATAGTTAGCTACGGAGAGCTGACGCTAGTGTAGGACAATCGTACAACTTAACTGTGCGACGGCTTTGTGAGCTAAAAAGCATTCTGAAATTTTTGTATCTGTCGTTTATTAAATATACAATTTTTCTTTTTTTGTTTCTTGCAAACATGAATTATCTCTATGAATCGTACGAATTTTTTGTTTTCCCACAGTGACGAACCTACGAACATTTGAACCAAACTGCTAACTATTCACTCGATACAATAACCAATGTCAAGTACACCGTTTCGTAAACGTTGAAAAAATGGTGAAAAACGGCAAGCTCTTCGCGTTATACCTAAATTAGGTCGACCTGGATTAACATGATGAACAGCTTGGATACCAAATGAAATTTGTTACGTTATTTCAATTGTTCTTCCTTCATTTGTATATCATATCGATCATTTTCAAATTCAAGTAAAATTGTTGGAATATAATTGATCAACGTTTGTTCAGTAGCTGGTTAGGAATCTTCAAATATCAGAATGAAAGAAAAATGATTATTCGTTTGTACAAAAAAAGAAAAACGCAATTGCGTTTTTCGATCATCTTTGTGCAGTTCAAAAAAGCATTAATGCTTTTTTTGAACTGCACAAAGATGATCACAAGATGGACAAGATTGTATTTCATTCAGTGGAAACCATTGTTAAATACATAATGAATGAAAAGAATGACCAGGAACATTCAACTTCGATGAAAATTTTAGACAATGTATATCTTGAGGTACTTAGTCATTCTACTAATTGCACCCTCTTATCAGTTATTTCCCCAGAGTTATTCTTAAATTAGTTGTGAAAAAGTGTGGTTTCGTACTTCCAAGATTCCGCCACCATTTTTTGAGCTAGAAGTTTTCAATTAGTTCCAAAAAATAGAGAAATGTTCTTTTCTATGTCGTGACGTCATTGAATTTTTCAATTCAAGTTTAGTTTAGGAGGAATTTAAAAAGTTTCTGGCAAGTTACAGAGATTTTATTTGGAAAAAGCATTTGTTTTGAAAAAGCGATGTTTTGAAACTAATCCGAAATGTCTAGCTTGAAAAATGACCGAGATATCTTGTAAGTATGAAACGCTATAGTCATAAAAAGAGATTTGGAGAAAAATGTGAAACAAGTTTACGAAATGAAATACGAAGAAGGAAAGAAATAAGTACAATAATACTTCACCATAGGACGGCATTTTCAGTCGAAAAACCCAAAGCCTCCATAGTATATCTGATATAGAGGCTAAGTTTCCCGATGCAACTTTTGCGAGGAATCCAATGGCACTCTCAGAAATTCTTGAAAATATTTCTGAACCGAAATAAGTACCTATTCTGGTTTCGAAAAACTTGAAATTAATTTGCATTAATTTATTTTGTAATTACATTTATTTGGGTACAAAAATTCGTTCAGATTAATTTTTGATTTGAAATTAATTTCAGCAAATGTTTTCTAAATCAATTTGAATGAATTAGTTATTACAAATTAATTTAAATTAATTTACCTACAGAAATTAATAGACATTAATTTTTTTTACAGCACTGCAAAGAAATTTGAGTCTATAAATTAATTTACACTAATTTTCAATGCCGATTTGACATACATTATTTTTCTTTAAAACAATCTAAATGGATTTGTTGATCGAAATTAATTTGAACCAATTTTCAATCAAAAATTCGTGCCCACCGATTTAACGAAAAATAATGTGCATCAATTTGGTATTGAAAATTAGTGTAAATTAATTTATAGACTCAAATTTCTTTGCGGTGCTGTAAAAAAGTTAATGTCTATTAATTTCTGTAGGTAAATTAATTTAAATTAATTTGTAATAACTAATTCATTCAAATTGATCAAGAATTGATTCAAGAGATAGGAGAAAAAGTCAGACGAAAACAGCTTCTTATCAAAATTTGGACATGAAAGATGACCGTTACGTGGAATGGTCCTTATCCGTTTTTAACAGCCTGAACTTCCAGTAGAAGGATGTGCAAGTCGGGAGGCGACTCACCTCAGGCGAGCGAGGGTTCTAGAGATGAGAACATATTTGCATTTCTTGTCTGGTCAAGAGAAGTGACACATGAAATACAGTTTTTTCTTAACCTCTGAAGAAGAATTCGCATCTACACTAAGTTCGACTCTCAATATTAATTAAAACTAATTTATATTATCAAAAATCTATTACAAAAACATTTATTTAAATGAATTTTGAGCCATCGAAGCTAGTTTACATCAATTTGACGGATTAAAACGATCTCGAACTCATTCGAAATAAATTACTCTAAATGAATTTGAGAGTAGAAATTAATTTGAAGCAATTTAAAGCACGAAATTTATTCGAAATCACATGAAAATGCGTGTTAAAGTCAAATGTTAAGTTATACATCTTTCTAGAAGTTTATTGGACACGAGAAGAGTTTTTATAATTTTAGAAGAAAAGATGCAAAAGTACTTTCTCAAAATAAAAGTACAGACAAGTTCCTCCACGGTCATTGGTGAGAAAGATTGCAGGATAGACATAGAAGACAAAAGCCTTTTTCTTTCCGCGAATAAAATCCTTCCTAGATCTCGCAGCAGGCATAGGCGAGTCCTGATCCATTTCAAGTCCGGTAATCTTGTACATTCTTTTTTGATGAGGTTGGTTTATATTGTAATTTGTTGCAACTGTGCGGCCAAGGCGTTCAAAAACGAAATGCACTTTGGACCGTGCAGACTGTTGGTTTGAGATTTTTCTACCGTAAAAATGTAACACTCCTATTCGTTCAGTTCGTAAATGCACACTATTGAGGGTATTTTACGAACTGAGACCATTTTACGAATTTCATAAATGCATGTTGCTAGATCTAAGCTTTATACTACTCACTAATTTTCATGTTCGAAGGATCCGCAAATGCGAAGTGTATGATAGAATTAGACAATTCGTAAATACACCTTGCTAAGCATGAACGAATCGCAGGAATTTCAAAATTATGTTGCTGAAAATTCTCACTGTTTTACGAATACAAAAATACAACTGATTGCGGCGTCAGCTAATTCGCTGTGGACGCGTGAATTCACAGAAAGCGTGTTGACCAGATTATTATACCAGATTAGAGTTATGCTAACTATCAAAATTCAAAAACCTTTTACCCCTAAAAATCTGTAAATTGCTCGCCCTCTGCACTTCGCAAACAATTCGTACGCAAAATCTGAGAATTCGCAACTTCATTGCTGTTAAAGTAGGTCAAAAGGGAAAAATTTTTTCCTCTAGGTTAAAAAAATCTGCAGATTGCGTGCACTTTGCGCATTGCATTTAATTCGTACGTGCAAACTGCGAATTCGTTTTTATCTCTAACATGAGCAGTAGTGAAGCTGATTTCGTTTTCCGCTATTTATCATTCGTACTCATCTACGAATGGGCACAATTTAATACGAATTAACTGCAATGTACAATGTGCAAGCAATTTGTAGATTTTCAGAGTTTAGAGGAACCTTTTTCTGAGTTTAGATATTTATCACAGCTATTCTCCTCCTAATTCTCACAATTTCTCTACGAATTAATTGCGATGTGCATGATGGTACGAATTTGCAGATTTGAACACTTGGATAGAAAAATGTTTTTATTTTTATTTACGTTTAGATCTAGGCGCTTGCGAAATTCGTTTTCGACAGTCACGGATTCGAAAATGCACATTGTTACATAGCTTCGAATTGATAATTAAATTTTTGTTTAGTTGTTGAAGAATTTGCATATTTTGACGAATTCGATCTTGCATATTGCTGTTGTAACGTTGGCACTAGCAATGTGCAAAACGGCACATTGCCACCATTGTTGAATTGACGCTTAAAAAAGTTAGACAATTTTGCCGAATTCGTCTCTGCACATTGGTGAGCGTGTTTTCAACAATGTACAGTTCGCGGTCACTTCGAAAATGCAAACTGTTGAAACATAAAAAAACGTGCAACAATTTCCGAATGCAATTCGCTTCTCGATACACTTCGCAGATTTGGTATGTTTACACAGTGCTCGAAGTACCGGTTAATTGCACCGAAGTACAATTCGCACTGGAAAGCGCCATCTTGAATTCGTGTTTGAACGCCTTGGCCGCACCACTCATTTAGTGAGCCCTGAATAAATATTTGGTTTTTCGAAAATTAGGTTACGTTCCATGTCCGTTTCTCGAACAAAATTTTCAGTTTCATGTGAGACAGTAGGTGTTGTTATTTCGCTTTTCAGTTTTCTCTGCTCATTTGTGTTAAAAGTTGAATAGATCGGACTCGAAATACAAAACATCATGTCCCAGTCCGCCAAAAAATCTTCCAGTCCCAATTCGAACTCGCCCAAGCCTGTCTCGTAAGATAAAACTGATGGATTAAATAAGTCAAAAAGTCTTGCGATGTTTCTTATCTTTACGCAGACTTTTTTTCCACCCTTTTTCAAAAACTGTAGCATCCCCTCGGGATGGCAAAGAAAAGAATCCTGGGTAAAAGTAAGAAACATCGCCGGATTTTTTGACACACACAACCCACGAGTTTCTTACTCAAAATTCTGCAGGATCCTGCAGGTGTTTTAAAGGTTTTTTCAGTGAGCGGTATAGTTCGACACTCTCAGAAATATTAGAGATATAACAAAAAAATAGTTATCCAGCAATTCTAGTTATCAGAGGCTCGTTAGGAATATTTTAAAGATCACTCACATATGCCAGACACGGGGGCACATGAAAAACACTAAAAACGGTCAAAGCTTAACAATAATATATCTTGAAACAAGACAGTAAAAATATGTCTTATTTGAGAGGCTCAGTTTATCGTACATTTGTGTAAATCAACCGTCTCTAATTCATCGTTGATAAATTGTACACGGTCATCTTTATCCGAGAGTTTTAGAACCTTGATCAATATATGTTTCGCTTCTTTATAGTTTAATCTTGCTAAACCGTATTCACTCGATCGCCGATAAGCTTCACCCTCGTCGCGGAATAAAGTAGCTAAATCATCCGCTAGTTGTTTATACACTAGGTCTTCAATGTTGAATACACCGCTGACTTTATTATACTCGTCTGACCACTTTTCGTTACTCTCAACATCGTGACAAAATATATAGATACGATAGATCTGTGTCAACTCATGTTTTTCTGGTACAATGTGTCGACCAAAAGCTCCAGACGTGATAAGTAAAATTTTTGTTTTTGGATATGTATCTAAATCGTCATAGAATGCATGATGAGTATCGAAAAATTTCCATTCTGTAATTAATTTTGACAACGTAACAAATTGTTTTTTCATTGAATGATGCGTTTCTGATTTACCGATTTGATCGTCAACCCAAGTAGCTATGATACGTGGACGACCGAAAGCTGATGAATTCACAGACATGAAACAATTCAGGGACGTGTATGAGTTGTATTCTGTTTGACAAATACAATTCTTACTTTTTCTACTTGAATTAATTTTTAAGATAAATTCTCCAAGATACGTTTTTTAGGCTAACTTATTGCTTTAAATGATAAAAACGTGTTAGACTTATTTGTATCCTTTGGTTTATGATGAAAACACAAGATATAAGAGCAAATGTCGCATGTGATTAATGCGAAAAGTGACAGATCAAAATAATCTTTTTTATTCAACCAGGTATTGCGTGTTGAAAGGAAAAAACCTTTTTCATATTAATCTATGGAAAGAAAAAGAGATATTGGAAAGGTAGGTTGAGTATTGTCAAGCAATAGCTGGTCATTGATAGCTTGTAGAAGAGATTTTTGGATTCACTTTTAATTCATGCCAGTATCTGTTTTAAAAGTGAATGTCGATCAGTATTATTTGAATAACTTTGAACTAGGATTTCCAGCCTATTTTTCACCTTATATTAAAAAATTCACAGCTTACTTAGTAAACATCAGAACGCGTTGAGAATTTTCGGATATACAGTATTTAGACTATTTTATATTCTACTTATAGAAAATTGGCAAAAAACAGACTCTCATTACAAGGTCCTTTGCCAAATATGCGAACAAGTTTTATGGTTTTATTTTCTCAAGGATTGGTGCGGAATTTTTTATTTTTGTATATATATGGAGTTCATTCTGTGCGATCAGAGCCTTTATGATGCGCGAAAATTCCAACTTTGAGTTTTACGTGGGTGCTGCGAGCAAACTAAATCTATAAAACCCTATCCCCGCTTACAGGCCTACAAAAGTTCAGCGTTCCTTTTAAGCGTTCTGCACGTAACGCTAAAACACGTTGACATTCCTTGAACATGAACTTTATTTTATACTACCGATGTTCATCTTGCGTGGAATGAAAATTATATTGAGGCTAGCGGACGCATAAGTTAATTTTATTCGAACGTCAAAAGAAGGCAAATAGTAAGTACTTCCTAAAGAATTCACTTTTCCTCCTTTTTATTTTGAAACTCTCAAACAGCTTTTTTCTAATTCAGCACTGAAAATCGAATTAGAAAATGTGCCTTCTGTGCTTCCCATATGTAATGTCATTGAACGAAAACTTCATCTTCAAGGATATCTCCAAAGCGGAGACCTCATCGGAAAAGCTATCTAGTTTTTTTTGGTAAAAGATAGAATGTTATTGTTGCGCCACTCGAGCGGTCTTTGGCAGAACCAATTTCAGTTTTTTCATTAGCTGAAGTTAAACGAATTGTATCATTTGCAATGCCGCCAAAAGTTTTAATTTCTGTATGGTGTTTATTAGTTTCATCGCTAGAAAATCCAAATCAACTACTTTGATAATGACGAGAATGAACAGTAGCTGTTATCGGGTTTAAATTCACTTCCTTAGAAGCATCTATAATAATATCTTCGTTTACTCTAAAATTTGCACCCTTAGCTTCTATATTTTCTTCTGAAGATTTAACAATAATATCATTCCCCGTTTGTATGTTTGTTTATAATAATTTTACATCTTCCTTATATCCTTCATCTGTTCCCCAAAGAGTAGAATTGTCCCAAGCTTCAGAATGATATATACTCGAACGACTATTTAAACTGATTCTTTTTGTACCAGACAAAATTTGCATCATGTCCTAACCCCGTCGATTCTCCATAGTCAATTACTTATTCTCATTTCCAGTCAATCAAGTTCAGGAAAACTTTATGCCCAGGAGGATCGCACCTAAAAATTGGTGAAAGATTCCTGGATGGGGGACACTATATCCTCGCTTTAAGTCGACAGAAAACTAAGTATTCTCTGAAAATATTCTGAAGACTGTGAAGTTCTACTCACTCACTTCTCACATTTATTTGCATAAAGTGAACGGCTATATATAGTACAAGAAAGAAGCAACAGTTGTGCAAGAGTTACGCAAGAACAGAAAGAGTTGGGAAAACCAATTGCAAAACAGAAATTTACATCAAAAACCGGTTACCGGGAAAGCGAGAAAAGTGCGATGCACCTATAAACCTTGCTACCCTTTTCATAGTTGGAGATGTTGCCTTAATTTTTTTTCAAACAAACAGTTTGGTTTTCGTC